ACCGAAGGAATTCTGGACGCTTGATTGGCCAGTGGTCACTACCAGTCCTGTGCAACCTGATCTGACCTGACCTGGTCACGGGGTTGAAGTGTGAGGATCACAAATACTCAATCAACCGTACGCAGTGTTGGAAGCTACTCCCATCCGCCGACAACACAACGAACTGGACGCTCGATTGGCAAGAGCCATATTCGTCCTGTGCAACTGAACTGAACTGGACTGGACTGGACTGAACTGAACTACGGAGCGCGTGTTTGATGTGAAGGTCGGCGGTTCTTTTTTTTGTGGCTTTTCTATGAGTCGAGAATCAGACTTCGAGGAATATCGGGCTCTTATCTTGCGTTGCAAACGACCGGAGTTAGACAAGTTAATCAAGTCAACTGACCTGCCACGAGGTGGTCTGAAACAGGATCTACAACTCAGATTAATTTCCTACTTGGATCAAGAGCCGCCAGATGCATTTCTTAATTCCTTGAATGACCTTCTGTTACGCCAGAAAAATTCTGCTGGTTAGTTTCTGATTTTTTCCCGTCCGATTTTATGTTCTATGTACGACGGTAACTGAAGGCAGACGTTAATTTATTGATCCAATATATATGTATAGATATATATATTTATGTATATATGAACTAAAGCCCAGTTTTGCTGCATTGTTGATTGAGCCATATTTCTGATGTGCAATCCATTTTCGAGGTTCTTTTTGTTTTGCATTCCTTCATTCAATTGTAAAATCGTAGTTCGTGCTGGTTGACATCGGTCAACCACCATGGTAGTCAGATAGAACGCGTCTTGTCTTTGCAATTTTATTTATATTCGAAACCTTTTAGTGCTTTGGCTGCATGGTGACTGTCGGTGAAATCTATTCAAAGACGTGTCTTAACAGCGCCCCCTGAATATCGTTTCTAATAATGTACTGCTGTTTGATTTATTCCTGAATCACATTGAAACGCCATTACCATTACTGACGAATGACCCACATAGAACTGTACATTTTGCCTTTTCAAAATCCGTTTACTATAAGTAATCGTAGTAACTCCTGGTTTTGAGCTCTTGTTTAATTACCGTTTGTGGTTTACAGGTTCCTTAGCAAAACAGAACACCTGGTTGCAGGTGATCAACGAAAAAATTAAACATTCATTGAAAGAATTGATATAACCTTGCCAAGTACAATGTATTGGCTCGGTCTCCTCTATGCAGCGATAGTCCTTCGGATCTCGAGCATGCAGACAACATAATGCTGCTAAGTAAAGATCCAAACAAGTTGCAAGTTTTTCTGGATAGTTTGAGTGCTGGTGTAGTCATGTTCGGTATGCGTTTTGCACCGTCAAATTTTAAAATGTTGCTCCAAGTTTTGGTTGTTGCAGCCTCCAATCTCACCCTGACTGGGGAAGTAGTAGAGAAAATAGATACGTTTTGCTATCTGGGCAGCTATATCTCACCTGGCGGACGCATCACATGAAGTGTCGGCGAATATACAGAAAGTTCGGTTGGCATTTGCCAACTTGAGACCTCTGTGGCGCCGTCGCGACATCCGGTTGTTTGTGAAGGGTCGAGTATATGCTGCAGCAGTTCGGCCAGTGCTGCTTTACGACGCGGAGACTTGGCCATTACGGGAACAGGATAAAAATAGATTGTCGGTGTTCGAACACCGCTGTCTACGTAGCATTGCACGAGCCTTGTGGGGTAACAGGTAGACCGTACAGTATTCGCGCCAGCGACTTCTATTCTGTGCCATATCTCTCATCGTCTCTAACCAACCGCAATCCTCATCCCTTGGGGCTCAACCTTGAAGGCGGGCTGCACCAACCGAAGCCAGAGCTGAAGCGAATTTCTTTATACCTCTCCGNCCTCTCCGCCATGTCATGGTCTGACCGCTGTCGCGCTTCTTGCAGCCTTGCCCGGCACGTGCTAAGAGAGCATGGATAGGTAATAGATGGGCGTGACCAATCCATCGGAGGTGGTGTAGAGCGATTACTTCTATTAGGGAACGACTATCCACACCTTACACGATGGACTTCGTCATTGCTTACCCGACGTTCCCACCGGACGTAAGCAATGCTTCGGAGACATCGGTGGTCGAATACAGGAAGTCGATTAGCATCCTCCGCTCAGAGAGGCCAGCTCTCGCAACCGTAAAGCAGAGCACTGCGAACTGCAGCGAGGTACACCCTTCCCTTAAGGGACAGTCGGATGTCATGACGGCGCCACAGGTGTTGTAGGTTGGCGAAAGCTGCTCTAGCTTTCGCTATTCGTGATGTGATCCCGTCCCCAATACCACCACCAGCTGCGATCAAGTTCCCGAGGTACTCAAAGCCCTCAACTACTTCTAGCTAATCACCACAGAAGGTGAGGGCAGGCACAGGCTCCTGCCAATCTTGAACTAGCACTTCGCACTTTGATTGTGCAAAACACATACCATACCTGGATACCTCGATCGCGGTTCAAAGCCTCGGACTGCCTGTGTTTTTTCACCCAGCAAGGCGATATCATCGGCATATTCCAAGTCAAGAACTCTGTCCCCTGGGAGGGGTTCGACTCCACCGTTTGCTAGACCGGACAAAGCATTCTGTTGAACATCCTATATGACAAAGTTGAAAAGGAATGGAGGTATAGGGTAGCCTTGTCGAACTCCACTGAAGACGGCGAAGAGTAGCGAAAGCGAAGTAATTAATCAGAATATTGTGATCTTTGTGACTGAGTAGATGAGGCCAGTGCTTCTGTGATTAGTATACGTCATCAGTCTTCAGGCAATATAAGCCAGATGTAGATAGTCCAATCCCGTAAGAATAGCTACTGTGACCAAACTAAGAGAAATAACTAACACAACTCTTGCCTGGTATATACCTATGCTCTTCTATTTCGGGGGCTATTTCATCTTCCCCAGACGCATTTTGGTTTCACGTTCGAATGGCAGCGACCATTCCTATCAGACTTATGAAATTGATGTCACTGCATCGAGTGAGCCCGGTTGCCGGGATGGGCTATACGTAAAACTCTGAGCAAACAACTTGTCATAGTGTTCTATACACCTCGGTATTATCATGCGGTACTGAGCTGGTTGTGGCTTGTAAGTTGGAAGTTTGTGGAATGTTGTTTTCCAACCCTACTAAACTCGGAATTCTTCACAGCCTTCAATTTTTTGAGAATTCCTTCCAATATTGGTTGCCTTCGCTTTTGGAAAAGCAAATAGATCGCTTTTCAAGTTCCCAGAATTATGCAGCTCTATGCGTTTCCTCGATTCGGTAGAGGGTTGCAGGATCCCTCCTGTGGTCTAGTATTTCCATCGTCATTGTGTAATATTCTACACTTGTCAGAAAGCCCCCTTATTTTCGACCTCTTTACTTGAGTAAAACATATAGTTATTCACAAATGATGCCCAGGTAGATTGTGCAAAATGCAGTGCAATTCGGCTCAGCTCACATAGCCATTTTTATGACGCATACTTATGTTCAACCGAATCTAGACCTCATAAAACACAACTCTTTATTATTTTGCAGAATTCTAACCCAGTGAGAATGGTCATTTCCATAGTGTCGTGCCAACGCTTCCTGACCTTAGGCGAATGAGCGTTACAACTCGTGTCGCCGGTTGAGTGGACTCTCTATTTCCCAGTTCCGTCCGATCTCGTTGGTAGCTGTGTACAGTAGACCGAGCGACATTCGTCACTTTTTATGCATCAGGGCCTCTTCTTCTTTGAATGCGGATTCGGAATGCACCATTACACAAACTGAAACCTTCCGACGAGTTCTGTGGTTACTCCCAATAAAAACACCCATAAACTCCCTCTGCCTTGTGGAGTCAAAGCCTCCGATCAGAGTTAAAAAAGAGAAACACCTCGTCGGTGTGGGTGAAGTGTGTCGTAACCTAAAGTCTTAGGATCCCATTTGGAGAAACCTCTCTTATATGTCCAATTCTTTCACTCACTCCCAAATCCTGGTAGATGCTTCCTGTTCGTGTTATCTATGAGACATCGCTCAGTAACCAACTGATAAAGTTAACAAAACAGGAACTCTCAGGTTGTTGAAACCAAGGTCTCCTTTATACTTAGCCGCATTAATGCCCACACGCTGTGTCGGCCAACAAGCTGCCTTAGCTAGAACCCTTGAACCTTTCAGTTTAAATGCACATTGTCTTTATTTCTCGCTTGCTGTACTTGCCTCTACTGCTGCTAGAAGGTATTTGCTGTACAAAGAGACTACATCTTGACGTAATATGATAACCTGTGAACCTTNATGCGAATTATCGATCGAGCTTGATAGGTTTGTGGCAAGTCAGCCCGTAACCTGCACTGAAGTCTCGACCTGGTGGGAGGCTTTCGATTTTAGTTAAAAAATAGTTAATTGTGTCTCCCTTCGTTGCTGTCGATCCAGATGAACTGACTGATTATCAGTGAAGACGACATATGAACAAACGTGAATTGGCAATTCGGTTCAGCCATGGTATGAGCAGGTTAGCACAGTAGTAACACATTCTCCTTCCATGTGATGGGTCCGGAGTTCAACTCCCGGACGGTGGATATGCACTACTGATGAGCTCGAAACTCGAGTCTGTATATGGTTCAAGCGATCAGCTGAAGATTGTGCGTAGAGGTGAAGTTCGAAGGATAGTCAGTTCAAATCAATATCCTCAAAGTGTTAACTTCTGTGATCCTGCGCCGCACATCGTTGACCTACTGTTGCAGTGTTCCTTGACTCAAAAGGAGCCCTCGACTCACCTGACCATGGAGAGGAGATGTCCCTCAGAATTGTGTAAACCTACTAAGCTCACTGTACTCGGAAACTTCTGGAGGCCTGTGGGGTCTGTGACAGATTAGGCAACTTGTTCGTCAAGGGTGTCTCATTTCACCTTTCCTGTTCAATTTTGTCATGAATGAAATACCGTAGAAGGCACTTTGGGGTGTCTGAAACGTTGATATTAAATGGGCACATGAAGAAAAGCTGTGATTCAGAGTACAGTGACGATATCGTATGGTTGTTGGAATGCATGGAGGACACGCGAAGTGCAAAATAAAGGAGATATGGGCGCGCACACCCAATCAGTAGACGCAAGACTGAAACACCTTTGGCGTAGATGTGACTTTCCGCTGAAGCTGGAGGATCGTGAATATTGCGACACAGTTACGATCAAGATATTGATTTTGCGAGTAGAATATGTCCACCTACTAAGGCCTTCGAAAGCCTCAGTATGGTCGGGGTGGCTGTCTGGAATTGTGACTGGTCACCATTTCGTTACACCTCGTGAAATGCTTCTATATGACCTAGCATCTCAAATAGCCTCTGCTGAGGAAACCCTACTCTCTGCCTTCTCGTGGCGGAGGTGTTTTTCGCACCAAAGTGAGAGGACGAAAAGCCGACATTCGGGGCTATAACCGGGTTGGTGGACCATTGGCAGTTCACCCAGGGGAGTTGGCCAAAGACCCTGATTTCAAATCAACCAAGAAGAGGCGTAAGAACCACACGCACACTTTCCTGGTCGCGGCAGTGGTCACTGGCTCAATTTGGCATTGAGGTGTAT